ACATGTTTGTTAAATAGTTTAGCCACGTTAGATGCCACATTGCTGACTGACAAAAAGATGTATACACTAGCGTCTCTACTTCTGTTGGTGCTCATTTTGTAGAATATATGCGTAGCTCGCTTCCTGTACTCTCGTAGAAAGTGTGAGGTGGAAACTGCGGTAAATTAAAAGCATGAGGGATGTACACGCATTTCCCCTCGAAGATCTGTGAGCCTCAGATTCTGAAAGTTTTGAGGAAGATGCTTATGACTACACCTCTTTTCATCTTGACTTCATGGTGGCATTGGAAGTGTAATGGTAAAAAATGGCATGGGATATCATCAACTGGTTGGAAAAATAAACAATTCAAACACAAGGTAATTTCATTGAAAACATTTCAGCTTTTTTTTTTTTATTTTGGTCACTTCAGATTCTCAGAATAGAAAAGCTTGCATTTTTTTCCAGCTATACGTGTAAAAGATCATTTTTCGTGTGTAGTTTTTCGGCACACATTAAAAAAGACTTTTTTTTTTACCTATGTGTAGAACTTAATCTGGAAAAGAAAGTTAGTTTTTCATTTTTTTTCTTCTAGTATAAATTTAACAGTTAGCTCTTGCGCAGTAATTTTTTTTTTACTTTATTTGTGAACCACTTAAAGGAGGACACTGATCCCAGGACTAGATTCCAGACCTCATTCCAGAGGAAATTTTACTCTGAAATCTTACAATATGAACAACACCCCTAAACAATAGGTTGAAATATGTCTTTATCAACGTCTTCAAATAAAACTGAACTAAAGCAATAACCGTTTTCGTCTCTTGGAGAAGAAGAAATGGCGAGAGTGAGAAGAATGGAAAGAGAAGTGGGGGGGTGTCAGGGGAAAAAGAAGAAAAGTGGGGGAGGGGGAAGGGTTAGGAAAGAAGGAAGGAGAATGATAGACAAAAGGGTGTGTTGAGATGAAAAGGGAATGTAGGGAGAGGAAATGTGGGTGAGGAAAAGATGGAAGGAAGGTAAGGGAAACAAATTAGGAATGAAAATAGAGAGCCAGGGTGAAAGAGAATGATGGATTTAACAGTTTCTTAGTCACTAGAGTTCACATACTTAGTGGAGTGGTGGAAAAGGTTTATCGAATGTCAAATTCAACATCTAACTTTAATCCCATGTTGCATCCTCATTGCTAGTAGTGTAGAGAACACAGACTCACAGAGGTGTGTTCAGGAAATGATTCCACAGTTTACGAACCAAGACGAATTTTGCAGTAAACATTGTATGTTTTCACACAAAATACGCCAAGTTCTTCTGTAAACTTCTTGGTGTTACACTGATGAGGTCCAAGAAATCTTTCCTAATCTCGTCAGGTAAATCACTTGCCAAACATTTGAAAGCTCTTCGTTTAAAGGTCATGGTTGCAGTATCAACCTGTATTTCAGGGAAGTAATACTTGAACTCTTCCAGCAAGAATTGTTGATTCTCTTTGATATTGTCTTGCAAAAGGTGTTCAGCCGCATTAGCACCGAGAGCTTCAGTGATTAAATTATTATTATAATCAAAAAGAAGCGCTAAGCCACAAGTTCAGTGATTAAAACTTTGCAGTGAAAGACGGCACACAATCACTGTAGTTAGTGTCTTCTTTTTTCCTTGAAGTTACAGATGCAATTCATGAAGTCCTCGAAATATTCATAATTATATTTATAATCAAGGGGGAAGCGCTAAACCCGGAGGATTATACAGCGCCTGGGGGGGGGGGATGTGGAAGGCATTCAGGCTTAATTCGGGGAACTGGAGCACAGATCTAATTCCCTAAATCAAGAGCCCCTCACCAACATCAAGGAACCTTCCTTGAGGGGACCGAAATATTCGTAAGGCAAGCAAGAAATAGCACAGAATTATCATTGTTTATTAACTTGAGGATACTTTCCCATGAGCTTCCATGATTGTGCTCAGTAGTTCCCGTAATTCCTGAACATGTGCCATGTTACCTTTGGAAAATCCAACGAACTTGTATACAAAACAAAAGTTTCTGATGAGCTGAATCCACATCATGGCACAGTTTTTTTTTTAAAAGTCTTGTGTTCAGAGCACTCCCTATGATATAGTCCACAATCCTCATGGTAGTTTGCACCACCATGGAGAAGCCCTGAGGAAGAGTCTGGGAAGCAAGCGCCTCACCATCACTCGTGCACTGAGACTATACAGGGATGGAATTTTTCTCTCTAACGTTTTGGATAAATACTGATCGGGTGTTGCGAATAAGAAATTTTTTAAAGAACTTCAGAATGTGGCCTGTTACCATTTATTTCTTATGCAACAAGATTTTTGGATCCGAGTTATAGGTATTTTAGAGTCTAGGGGAAATAATTTCAACTGGGAAACTCCATAGAATAATAATCAAATTTATTAAAGTATTTAAATACAATACTTTATCTTCTCTTTGTAGTTAATGTAACTTAATACTTTGTACAATAAATTTACCATATACATTTAGTTCAAAATCATGGAAATGTCACATTAATAAGGAAGTTCAATTATTCTTCCTGTAATTCAGTCTTCAATAACATTTACGTCTTTGTCTTAACAAGACTGTAAACTCAAAATACAAAAGGTACAAGTTTTAAAACAAGACCTTTTGAATCTGGCCGTAAAGTATCTCTATGGATTACTGAACTGACCAAGAATATAAATATCAAAAGAGTCTTTCAAAGCAATGAGGAACAAAGTGAGTCAGCTCTATAGTCCAATTCTCAAAACCATTCAACTGTACACCGTAAGAGCCAATATACGATCAGTTGTCAGGGCTAGAGCTGGGAGCAGACTAACTACTTGCCAGTCTGTTGACGTGTCGTCAGGTTGGATCACCTGACCCAACGTCAGTCAGCCGGACATAAACAATTGAACAATTCACCGGATGGTTCCGAGACTTAAACTCTACTCTATATACACAAGAAATCCTACCTAACAATAATAAAATAATAGTGATAGTAACAAAATAGTGATAATAGCGATAATACCATGGTATTTTTCATATATTAACATATAATAATATAACGCCGAAAGTCTCTATTTTAGCTATAAACGGGGACTTTCGCGCTATAATATTAAGTGATGAACATATTCTCTTACAATAGTTAAATAACACAGGATGACCAATTTCGAAGATATAACATCGGGATACAAGCATTGCAAGATCATCAGTACTTTTGTTTCGTCGGCAGAAAAAAAAGTCAAATCTAGTTGATGAACCATACCCCCGGCCGGGATTGAACCCGCGGTCATAGAGTCTCAAAACTCCAGCCCGTCGCGCTAGCCACTAGACCAGCTAGCCACAATAAGATTCATCCAACTAGGTATATTTCTACACCATAGGAAAGTTAGCACAGGCACCTCTGTGACCACAAATGCAAGTTTTTACAGACGAATCTCCAGCTAGCGTGGCCGTGACGAACTCTAGCTCAAGTCCCTTCACTGCCGTCAACATGGCTAGCTGGAGATTCGTCTGTAAAAACTTGCATTTGTGGTCACAGAGGTGCCTGTGCTAACTTTCCTATGGTGTAGAAATATACCTAGTTGGATGAATCTTATTGTGGCTAGCTGGTCTGTGGCTAACGCGACGGGCTGGAGTTTTGAGACTCTATGACCGCGGGTTCAATCCCGGCCGGGGGTATGGTTTATTTGCAATCGTGTCATTACGATTTCTTAAGTCAAGTCTAGTTGATGAAGCTTGAGTGTTACTGGCTTCCCTGAGCCATTTGTTAACACCCCGGCACAATAACGCCCCTGTGGAATTGAAGACGTACTGTGAAGCATGTGAACTCATGTTGAAATAAGAACCATCACATTTCCTTTCATTGTTGTTGGATAACCTGACACATTTGTTGCAGAGAAAATGCTCCAATGAAATTAGCTAACACATTTAAAAAATATTAAATAGCCAGTACGAACTATAATCTCTTTACTAATTATCAAACATTTTTAGACTCTTATCCAGTGTTAATAAATGAGCTACAAACATGTCATTAATGTAGTTTATGACAATTAAACTTATGGAGAAGGAAAAAAAATCCGTTATAAAATAAGACTCATAAATATAAAATCAATTTATTAAAATTATTGGTTTAGAAAGACACGTAAGCAAACACTATGACATATTTATTAGAAAACGTTTCGGTCCTGGGACCTTGATCACTTCTAACATATCACAATATTTCAAAAACATTAGCATACATGATACCTAAGCACCACCAACCCAACAACACAGGAGTCACATGATTTCATCGTCTACCCGTCCTCATCCCAACATGACATTCTTCAGGTCACAATGCGTCACTCACACCTCACTCTTCGCTTATATATATAATGTCTTTCTACCTCTGTATGTTAGAAGTGATCAAGGTCCCAGGACCGAAACGTTTTCTAATATATCATAGTGTTTCCTTACGTGTCTTTCTAAATCAACTTGTCGGTATTTATTACCAAGGTTTATACCATTAAAATTATTACTGTCTTCCATCCTTCTGTGGTCCGCTTGGCAAGAAGCCATAGTGTTAGTGGTTTACAGACGAGTGGAAATATAAACACATATGCAGTATAATGTGATCCTTTATTGACAACGTTTCACCCACACAGTGGGCTTTTTCAAGTCACACACAGACCACAGGTTAAGAACCTGAAGTTTATAGATCACAGGTGCTTAACCTAAGGGTCATAGAACTCGGGTTAAGAACCTCTGTTCTAGAGTGATGATGGAGTCGAGGATGCCATGAACGTCAGGAACTTTGGGCAAAATAACAAAAATATCGTCCACTTTGCATAACCATTGACCTGTAGCTTAGATGTGGTTACATTCCAGGTCCTCCACATACATGTTACCAAGGACTGTGATTATTACCTCTCATTTCCTTGGCTCTATATAACCCTTATGAGGTGAGTTCTTGCTCATTACCGCATTTCATGTTGACGGAGGCTCGATCCTCCGTTTGCCCCGAGTGATTATAATTAGAATACAAGAGAGCTCAAGTACTCACTGTTCTGTTACCGATGGAATGCACCCGGCAGTGTAGTTCTGCCTGGCGGCCCACGTGAGCGGTCTGGTTGGTCAGCATGCTGGAGTCGAAGTATGGCTGGTCTGTGACCAGTGGAGGAGGAGGTATCAGCCCCTGACCACCAGCTCCACCCACTACTGAAAAAAAAGAAAAAAAAATATACGTTTTTACTAGTAAAGCTCACAGACGGAGAATTAAATATACAGTTAATTCTACTTTTGCCTAACCTTGTGCTGACCCAGAGACCGGTCAGTACAAGACTAAGACCTGTACCACGACCCCGGTCCTGGTGAACATTATACGTACCTATGCTGTAGTTTCATCAAGATTGATGGACTGATTGCACGGACTCTAGGCTGAGGAACTGATTACCTCACGCTCTTGATCTTAAAAACATAAGAAAAGAAGAACACTGCAGCAGGCATGTTGGACCAGACTAGGCAGGTCCTTCACAAATCCATCCAACTAACCAAATATTTGCCCATCCTATTTTCAGCGCTACCCTAGCAATAAGCTTTGATAAATCTCGTGTGCAAGAACCAACTCAAATCCAACCCCTCTCACTCATGTGTGATGAATGGTTTGAAAAACCGACAAGTTGAAGATTGAGACACTTATGCAGCATATGGGAATCTTTATTCAGGAAACGTTTCCTGAATAAAGATTCCCATATGCTGCATAAGTGTCTCAATCTCCCTCTCACTCATGTATTTACCCAACCTAAATTTCAAACTACCCAAGGTTTTAGCTACAATCACCCTAATACGTAGACTGTTCCACTCATCATCTACCCTATTTCCAAACCAATACTTTCCTATATCCTTTCTAAATCTAAACTTATCTAATTTGAATCTATTATTACGAGTTCTCTCTTGGAGGAATATCCTCAAAACCCTATTTATATCCCCTTTGTTAATACCGTCTTTCACTTATATACTTCGATCATGTCTCCCCTTATTCTTCGTCTTACAAATGAATGTAATTTAAGGGACTTCAATCTTCCACCATTCTTTTATTTACTGGACTGAGGAAGCAACTAACGGGCGAAACGTTCCCGCAGTAAAGATTTTTTCTTTTATGGATTTGATAGAAGTACATCTGTGCCTCTTTTCTTTCCCGATGTGACTCATTAATGGTTCAAGTCGGACCGAAACGTCGTCAAAAGTCTTGGTCTTCTAAGTGCGGATTATTTGTGCACCGTGATGTTTGAATAGACTTAACATTTTGTAATAATGTTGGTAGAATTACCGACAATATGTAAAGTAAAAGGACATAAGTGCAACTAATGTGACATTTTATTGTGGCGACGTTTCGCTCTCCAGGAGCTTTGTCAAGCCGATACAAACAGTATATGGACACAGAGGGTATATATAAAAGCTCAGAGTGAGGTGGAAATAAATGGTATAAAATACCGACACAATGGAAATATAAACACATATGCAGTATAATGTGATCCTTTATTAACTACGTTTCACCCACACAGTGGGCTTTTTCAAGTCACAAACAGATCTATCTGGGGTGTATGTATGTATAATGTTCGCCAAGATCAGGGTCCGGGCACGGGTCTTAATCTTGAGATGACCCGTCTCTGGCTCCTGAAGGAGAATTGATTCTTCACTGTTGCAGCATATGCTGCTCAAGCACTGTTCCGGACAGTTCAGCTAGTGTGCCTCATAAGCGACTGAGGTTATTCCATCTCAGCTGTTTCCTGAGCTGGGGACTGGGCTCTGTCCGCTCTGATAATCTGCAGATTCATGGCATCCACTGTTTCCTGCTCTGTCAGTAAGCACACCCTCAGGAGTGTGCTGACCATCTGCCGGAACATGCTCTGTTGTTCTGTGGAGGTGATTGTGTTGCAGATAATATCTGTGAATGCCTTGATGAGTGTTAAGAGATCCTCTCTGTTGGGGGCCTGCGTTGTCGGTGGGTTCGAAGCAGTGGATATTATCTGGGTTGTTGTAATCTGTGGGGACTGCTGAGGGTTGTATTTCTTCACTGTGCACACCGTGGCCTGTTGCTGTATGCCAAGTTGTGTAACCGGCATCTGCTGGTGAGGTGCAGCCACAGCCTGCATAGTGGCTGTGCCTGGCAAGGAGGCCGGTGGGGGCTCGTGTAGTGCCGTCTGCTGATTGCGTTGCCCAAATGTTTCCTGTTGGCGCCGCCTATTCCTCATGTTTTTGTTTCTTCGTTGCGGTAGTGGGGGAAGATGCTCCTGTTCATGACGCCTGGTTGAGTCTTCAAGGGTCGGAAATTCCTGGGTATTGAGTTGGGTTGCCTGATGAGAGTTCTGCAGTATCGCAGGATTCTCTGCACCCATCGTCTGCTGAGGGTGATGCTCTGCCCTAGCCTGCTGTCTCGTCGTTGGTGCCTTCCAAGCCTCACGAATTCTAGTGAGCCTCTCAGGGCATCGAGGGTTCCAGGGATGGTGTTTCTGCCTGCAATTCGGGCATCGTGGAGTGGGTGGCGATGCATTCTTCAGCTTGGTGATGCATTCCTCGGTAGGGTGGGGCTGGCTGCAGACACCGCAGATTACTCTGGACAGAGTGCACCCAGGTGTCCGTAACGCTGGTACTTAAAACAGCGAACTGGTTCTGCCGTGAAGGTCCTGACATCGTACCTGCCCCAAGAACCGAGGTCCAGCTGGGATGGCAGCGGTCCTACATGCTGAATGAGGACCTGCCGGGTTGGTGCGTTGCCTGCCGATTTTGCCTTGAGACGCTGAGCTGACACGACACTGGGATGAGCTGCTACATGCCTCGATGGGCATCATCAGCGGGTATCGCATCACATACACCCTTGGTGACCTTCTGCCGATAATCAGTTCCTCCAGGGTGAAGGGGCGGTCTGTCTCCATGACTTTCTTCAAGGTGATATGCATTTCCCTGTTGATAGGAGTCAGTATTGGTTCTCCCCTCAGGTTGAACCATATCTTGAACCTCAGTTTGTGCCGTGTTTCCAGGTGTGTAACCACACCATAGTGGGTTTTGTGTTCCCCATAAGCTTTTACCTTGAATCTGGAAGGTGATTTGAGCTGGTTTACCTGCTCCTTGGAGGGACGGCGTGTCTTACTGTTCACATTGATCCATCTTTCCGTATTCTCTGGCTGCATGGTTAGGCTTGTCAGAACTGGAGACTTTTCCTCTGATGACACGGAGTGGTCTCGCAACGTCTTCGCTAGGATTGCGCCCCATATTTCTAAATCCGAGTCGTCCATTTCTAAGTCCGAGTCATCCGTCGTGTCCCTGGAACATCGTGACCTCTTCCTTTCGGCAGAAGCCATGTGCCTGTCAACGTGGTGCTGGACTGTGATGCTGTGATGCTACCTGGGGTGGAAGGGACGCGAGTATTTATAGTCAGGTTCAGAATGCTGAGGTCAGGTGGAGAATGCTGCATCTGATGTTGCAGATGCATCAGATGCAGCATTCTCCACCTGACCTCAGCATTCTGAACCTGACTATAAATACTCGCGTCCCTTCCACCCCAGGTAGATCTGTTTGTGACTTGAAAAAAGCCCACTGTGTGGGCGAAACGTAGTCAATAAAGGATCACATTATACTGCATATGTGTTTGTTTCCTCAGAGTGAGGTGCAATACTAGTGAGGTACCATATCGATGTTCACAGGTGGTGGTAGTAGTAGTGACAAAAGCTGTAGTAGCAGAGCAATTAATTCGTACATGAGTGAAAGGATATAAAAGCTATTATTTGGGTAACATAAAAATAGGTTGGATAAACATAGACTGGAAAGAGAAGGCCTGTTTCAGTGTTCACCCTCTGTAATGTGCCCTGTGTAGTATTAATTGCTCTGCCATATATTGTCTTACTACTACTACAACTTTTGTCACTACTACTACTACTACTACCACCACCTGTGAACATCGATATGGTACCTCACTAGTATTGCACCTCACTCTGAGCCTTTATATATACCCTCTGTGTCAATATACTGTTTGTATCGGCTTGACAAAGCTCCTGGAGAGCGAAACGTTGCCACAATAAAATGTCACATTAGTTGCACTTGCGTCCTTTTACTTTACACGTAACATTTTATTGGACGAAGCATCAGTGGCATAGAACCCACAGTGTGGGAGTGAAACGTCATAGTGTGGGTATCTCAACCCACCCCCACATCCTCGGGAAGGTTCAGACCACCTCCCTCAGGATGGGTACTCGGGGTGTGATAGTTTTACATAACAAATCAGCCACTCTGAAAGCCAATTGTTATCGGATGTGCAAGAAAGGTATAAAACACAAGATGAAAGTCAAGACACATGTGCAACATCTGGTCATCTTTATTATAGACGTTTCGCCATCCAGTGGCTTTATCAATACAGATTCTAGGACATAATTAGAAGACAGTAGAACTATATACAAAAGATGAGATAATCAGTCCTTCAGCCTTGGAGTTAGTATTCACAGCATCGTGATGGAGGAGAATCTGGAGTAAAGGCAAGAAGACTGGCGGTTATGTAGGCGTCAGTGGATAGGGACGTGTAGCAGACGAGGGCAAAGTTATTAATATGGATGGTAATGTGGACCGATATAATAAATACTGATCCTTGTCTTTCCCCTAAGAAAATATTTTAGCCAGTATGTAAAGTTATCATTTACATCAAAAATGATAATATAAAAATCACAGTATTGAGAAAGTCAGACTTAGAGAGAGAGAGAGAAGATGGAGAGAGTAGGAGGAGGAGAGAGAGAGGAAAAGTAGGTGTACTCACCTTGTGGCTCCTGGGAATCGAGTCTTTTAGCTGGTCGTTAATCATTTCACTCTTTCCTGGCTTCGAGAGCCTTATCGTATCTGTCCTTGAAGCTATGTATGGATCCTGCCTCTACCTCTCCAGTCATTCTACTTCATAAATTCTCTAAGAATGAAGAAATATTCTTTTTTTTTTATTTTTCCAGATGTGCACTCGTGTTACTGTGTGTGTGTGTGTGTGTGTGTGTACGTGTACGTGTACGTGTACGTGTACGTGTACGTGTACGTGTACGTGTACGTGTACGTGTACGTGTACGTGTATGTGTACGTGTATGTGTACGTGTATGTGTACGTGTATGTGTACGTGTACGTGTACGTGTATGTGTATGTGTACGTGTATGTGTACGTGTACGTGTACGTGTATGTGTACGTGT